TTTCACAGGCGCCCGTATCGATCAGGGACACCATGACAGTCGAGCATCCATGGCGCTGCATGAGGCGGTTGCCCTTGATGACGCTGTCGCCCGCGGACTGGAGCTGACCAATGAGGAGGAGACTCTGACAGTCGTCACGGCTGACCACTCCCACGCCTTTACTTTCAACGGCTACCCGTTCAGAGGGAACAGCATTCTGGGTACGTTTCGGTTCGCATGTGCACTACAAGTATTAATAACGAAAATATTCCGTATCGGTCTTTCGGACGAATGAATGCAGTATTATTTTAACCACTTAACTTCTCTGAGGAACATATTTAGAAACTCTGTTTGTATATTCTATGGAAGTTCGTTTCTGCCACTAAAAAAAATTTTAAACGTTAATTGTGACTTTTTAGTCTCACAATTCTGACTTTTTTACCAGAATTGTGTGATATAAACTCGCAATTGTGTGAAATAAAGTCAGAATTGCATGACAAACTCACAATTGCGAGAAATAAAGTCAGAATTGTGTGATATAAACTCGCAATTGTGTGAAATAAAGTCAGAATTGCATGACAAACTCACAATTGCGAGAAATAAAGTCAGAATTGCGTGATATATACTGGCAATTCTGACTTTTTCTCACAAGTGCAAATTTATATCTCACAGTTATAACTTGTTTTCTCATAATTCTGACTTTCTCAAAATTGTGAGAAAATTGTGAGATATAGTGTCCAATTCTGAGGGAAAAAATACTGATTATTTTCTTACAATTTTGAGTTTATATCTAACAATTCTGACTTTATAACTCGCAATTGTGAGATATAAACAATTCTGAGAAAAAAAGTCAGAATTGTGAGTTTCTTATCACGCAATTCTGACTTTATAACCCGCTTTTGCGAGTTTCAATCACGTAATGATGAGAAAAGAGTCAAATTCGCGAGAAAAAAGTCAGAATTGCAGAAAAATGTAGAACAGTAAGATGAAAAGCTGCAATTAGCCTACCTTTTTTATTTTTTTATTCAGTGGCGGAAATGGGCTTCCATCATATTCAAATGAGTATAAGACAATAGACCTAGTGCCATATTTCATTTTTGACAGGAATAAAAACAAGGCTGTGAGACTGAAGTAGTGTGTTGCTGTTTAAAAAGTGATTAACAATTTTTTTTTAAAATTGCATAAACACCCAGTAAGCGACCATATGTACAAATATTAATCGCCCATTTACGCTGTGGTACGAAGAGTGTTGAAAGACAGAGCCAAAGTTTATTCAGCAACCAACTTATTTATTTATTTTTTCCGCTGCAGTACTGAAAACTTTCCCAACTGTCATTTTTGTGTCCCATTACACCCTTAATCATTATCATTTCCATCTCTCAGGAAAGTCTCCAATCTTTGCCATGGACTTTTTACCCTACACAACTCTGATGTACGGAAACGGACCGGGACACAAAATCACCGACAACAAGCGTCCAGACATCCGTAACGTCGACACCAGTAAGAAACTGATATTTTAATGCTTCACACACTGCAAGCGCTGCTGTTGTGAGTGTTTATTCTCATTCTCGCTCTCTCTCTCAGCCGATAAGGACTACGTTCAGCAGTCGGCCACCCCGCTAGACTCTGAGACCCACGGAGGCGAGGATGTGGCGCTGTTTGCCCGCGGCCCCATGGCTCACCTCTTCCAGGGTGTTTACGAGCAGAACTACATCCCACATGCCATGGCATTCGCGGCCTGCGTCGGCACCAATCAGGAACACTGTGCTGCCACCCCTGAACCTGATGAGATTCCCTTCACATCCACTGAGCCGGGAAGCTCCGCCCCCAACACGCCCCTCTGCGCCATGACGACAGTGATGCTGAGCGTATGCATGAGTGTTTTACTGCACTGAGAGAGCGCGAGAAAGCAGCAGATATTCATAATCTGAGCATAAATTAACATTTCAGTTAAGAAAACCCTTTAATTATAAGGTGTTTCTTAATTAAAGGTGTTCATTGCAACTGCCTGCAAGTCCTGGGGAGTCGAAACTGACAGACAACAAGAAATGGCAAATGCAACACATTTAAAGACTTCTATCTTAAGTCCGAAAATAATGACATAATCTTGCATCCAATGGCATGTACAAATGTTTCCAATAAAATGCTTTTTATAATGAGAATGTTCTTCCCGTTAATGAAATCTTCAGTAATGCTGCGTCCCAATTCGCCTACTTATACTATGCCCTAAAAGTATGTACTCTTTTTGTGACGAAACATCTTAATGCATGTTAATAATACATCTATCTTTATACGTCGTTCATTTTTCTGAAAAAGACGTTCGTCTAATATAAATAACATATAACTAAATAACAACAACAAAAAATATATATTTTTTTAAACATTTAAAAAATTTAAAAAACATTTTTCGAAATAACGTTTTCATAACTTAAAGGGAACGTTAGCAGAACATTCCTTGAATAAAAAGTTTATTAATCGTGATCTGGTCTTTAGCAGGTTAGCACAAAACATTATTTAAACGTTGTTCATGGAATGTTTTTTTTTTTCTGAAGCGTTTTAGTTGGAAGTTCGTCTAACGTTTTTTAAAAGTAACATTCCCATAATGTTTGCAAAATGGTCAAATGAAATGTTCCCTTAACATTCACATAACAAAACAAAATAAAACATTTACGTAAAAAACATTTGGTCGTTCCGAGAACATTCGGAAATAACGTTTTCATAACGTCAGCAGAACATTTATAGAGCGTGTTTTTGTTTGCGTAAGATGTAGTGTTAGGTGTATGTACTATTAAAATTTATATACTTCTCAATAAAAAATTTTTGAGTAACAAATGAATAGGATGGGACTTGATTGGATTATGAAAAGTGGAGTATGATATTAATGATTAATATTATTTCTCCACCTACAAGTTTGTTGATTAATCATAATGAATCAATTAAACCAGCGATATTTGTTATGAAAACGTACATTCTGATTTCACATTGAATCGTAACTTTAAACTGAATCTGTATGTTATTGATGAAAATATTTGATGAGCATTGACGTCATATTCTGTAGCCCCATCCCTTTTCAGCGCTGCGCTCGTTGTCTTCTGTCTTCCGCTTGTATTTCCACAGTGTGAAGGTAAGATATACTTACTAAGATATATCTTCCTGGTATACTGACATTTGTTATGACATCCGAGCATTTTAATGCACATAATAACTTTCTTTATCCTCTTCACCAGTGTTGGGGGTGATGCATTACAAGTAACGCAAGGTAATCAGATTACTTTTTTTCCCAAGTAACTAGTAAACAGTGTTGGGGAAAGTTACTTTTAAAAGTAATGCATTACAATATTGCGTTACTACCTTAAAAAGTAACAAATTACGTTACTTAGTTACTCTTTATGGAAAGTAATGCATTACATAGGACACTCTGTTGCTTAGTTACGTGCATTCTGTCACTGTTTAACCTGCCCTGTCAATCATCTTATCACAGTTAACATCATCCACATTTCGTTTAATTTGATTTCCTAAGGTATTGGAGAGAAATTAAGAGGTACGTTGAGATCTGCTAGTCGCGGGTCTATCATGCCGAGAACTCTGCTCATGTGTTTGCATAATGATGCATTTAAAAGTTAATGACCAAAAGTATCATTATAAAAGTTCACAGTGTTGCCGCAGATGAAATATAACGTGGATAACATTACATTTATATTTTTTCCATCAAGTTAGACATTGATTATTTATCACTCAAATCCGTTTATCTACCTGTCCGTTGGTCGCGTATATCCGCCATGTTTGTAGTTTTGTAACACTTTTAATGCGTGTTTGTAGTTCTAATTGAATCCTCGTCCACCGCGCAATGCGTTGTGGGTAATATTAGCCGTTAGAGTGCGCATTGATCTGCACTTCGAATTCTAAAAGTATGTACTCTTTTTGTGAAGAAAAAGTACATACTTTTGAGTATGTAGAAGAATAGTAGGCAAGCCTTGGGACATACTATTTCGTCATAGCTGCTTCTTTAAGGGACGCTCTGTTGCTTAGTTACGTGCATCCTGTCAGTTTAAACTGCCCTGTCAATCATCTTGTCACAGTTAACATCATCCACATTTCATTTAATTTGATTTCCTACCGTATTGGAGAGAAATGAAAGAGATACGTTGATCTGCTAGTCGCGGGTCTATCATGCCGAGAACTCTGCTCATGTGTTTGCATAATGATGCATTTAAAAGTTAATCATCAAACGTATCATTATAAAAGTTCACAGTGTTGCTGCAGATGAAATATAACGTGGATAACATTCAATTTATATTTTTTCATCAGGTTAGACATTGATTATTTATCACTCAAATCCGTTTATCTACCTGTCCGTTGGTCACGTATATCCGCCATGTTTGTAGTTTTTAATGCGTGTTTGTAGTTCTAATTGAATCCTCGTCCACCGCGCAATGTGTTGTGGGCAATATTAGCCGTTAGAGTGTGCATCGATCTGCACTTCGAATTCTAACCAGAAGTAGTAGACCATCCGGGAATCTTTGGCATACTTTTTTAAACGTACTATGATTTGGGACATACTAATTCTATTTTCGAATACTATTTAGGACGGATAGTATGCGAATTGGGACGCAGCAAATGTCTTACAGTTTAACAGGAAATGCATCAAAAACAAAATTGACAATTCTTATTTTCATGGAATATTTAATTAAGTATTTATTATAAATGACTTATCTGTGCACGTCATTATAATTTGTTTTTCTAATATCCAATCCAATCAATTCCCAATCAATATCAAGTCCCACCCTACATTTTTCTTGCCACTTGGATATGTGTCGCAATAGAGAAGAAAAGACGATCACAATTTCCGTTACATTTTAATTTTTACATTTGGAAAGTTTTGTAAGTAACAATAGTAATAAGTAAAAATACATTATTACGGCCTTCCACATGGTCGCCGATGTTGGTGGTAGAAGTGAGCGAGTAATTGACGCGTGCAAATTAAATCCATGCACTGATGTTAAACGCTTTCCGTGTCCTTTATTCTGCTTCAATCACAACCAATAAACAGCTCGCTTCCTGTAAGCTGTCCTTTCAGTTCATGACATACCAATTTAAAGTTCATACCTTGTAGACAGAGCAAATACATTGTCCATAGTCCATATTATTCCTTGCACGATTATGCTTCAAGTTCGGTTCAACAAAGGGGGTCTGAATACTTTCCGTACCCACTGTATTTGAAAAAGTAACTCAGATATTTCTAAATGAAAAAGTAATGTGTTTCTTTACTAGTTACTAAAAAAAAGTAATCTGATTACGTAACTCGCGTTACGTAATTGTAATGCATTACCCCCAACCAGGGCCGTTTCTAGGCATAGGCGAGCTAGGCGGTCAGCTAGGGCGCCACCAGCTGAAGGGCCGCCAATGAGCGCACGTACTGGCACTTTGAGCAGGGTTGTGATAAAGAGTGGCACGGTCACCCTGAAGTCAAATTGGCTAGAAACGGCCCTGCCCCCAACACTGATAGTAAAGTAACGCATTCCTTTTTAATTTAGAAGAAAATATCTGAGTTACTTTTTCATTTTCAAATAAGTAACTCCAGTTACTTTGTTTTCCCATGTACTGACTGACAGCTCTCCTGTCCTCATGTTGAGATGCTACTGTAGTTCTAGACTAAATGTCAACATGCATTTACTCATCTCATTTGCACAAAAACAGATTCAGTATCAGTATATCAAACTCATAATATTATGCAAACCTGCAATAGTTAAATGTTAACAAAAATGATTTATGTAGGCTAAAAAGTAAAGCAAAAGTAACGTAATGCATTACTTAAAAAAAAAAAAAAAAGTACCGCGAATAGTTACTTTTTTAAAGAGTAACGCAATATTGTGATGCATTACTTTTAAAAGTAACTTTCCTCAACACTGCTCTTCAACAGCGATGCTACAGAACAGAGGCGGAGCACACACGCGCATGCTCATAAATAATAAATCACACCCAAAGACGGTTATTTTTAGCAGGGCGTGAGTCATTAATGTAACTGTTAGAACATCTGCTGTGTCTCATCAAACCTGAGAGAGTCTTAGTTAAGCGTGTTACGATGCAAAGGTGCATTTGCATGCATTTGTTATAGGTATAGACAGAAACATGCGAGCCATTGCAGATGAAAAAAGACAAATCCTAATGGTTTTCCTGAGGCAGAAATTCTCTCTGTGTTCCAAAACCTAGTGAGCTGCGTTTCAAGATATCACTACACTTCTGCTATAACTCTGGCATTAAATATCTTCTGTTTTCATAGAGAGGGCGATCCCAGAATGCAATCTGATGAGCTCAGATAAAAATGTTTCAGTTTTACACAATATTTTTGTGTGCTGTGTATTTTTATGCTTATTAGTCCATTGCATTAACCCAAACTCTATTGAAATCAATTGTGAGCCGCATGCTTCAGTTGCACATGCTTCACCATTTAGATCCCAGTTAGGATGCTTTCTTATATATGTAGACAGCAAGGCAGCATCTATCTATCTATCTATCTATCTATCTGTGCAGATGTTGTGTTGACCTACAGGTGGCGCTGTAACACTGCACACACTACTGCACTGCAGGACAGTGTGCTGAGAGACTGAGAGAGAACATGCAGAAAGCTTCAAAGAGAATAAAAGCGTGTAATCATTAAAAAGTTGAGTGCCTCTTCTGCTCCACTGAGTGAAAATGTAGCTGCAGATTTTCACTGCTGCATATTTGTAATTCATACAAACCCTCTAGTCACATGGCTTTGGAGGATTTCATCCCAAAATCAAAAGGAAATAAAAATAGCATTATATTTTGTATAAATTACATGCATTATTATATTAAAAAAATATTGTAGTCATTTATATAATTTATTTTTATTTCTGACGGTTTAACCATAAGTTCATA